TGTTGTGCCTTCAGGAGCACATCTGGGTAATCTCTCCTGCCCTTATCCAGAGAGGTTCTATAGGATCAATATATTTGCGGGTTATTTGGTCTTAACTGCTTCTACTGTCTCCACTCATTTGGAGAGGCGCTAGTTCACCACATCTCCCCCAAAGTCTCCCTAGTGCATATTTGCACACAATTGTACTTTCAGTGGGTTTTCACCTGCTTTTTGTACTTTTGATTCCGATATATAAAAGATCATATAGCATTGTAACTATGCAGTGTTTTTTTTTTGCCATTATACTTTATTTCCTTGTATATGTTCATTTGGATGAAGTCCTTTGTATTTTCATTTATTCTGTTTGGTCTTGGTTATTGATTTGGGATATGTTTTCCAAATTTATTACTTACTAGTGAACTGACCTTATTTGCATCTTTTAGAGTAAAATGCAGATTGGAAAGGATGAGCTTTGCAGCACATTAATTGTTGCAATTTAAGTGTATTTGGGGGAAAAATTTCAATATGTGACCTAGTTATCATAAAGAACAAGAGTTACAGAGGATACAGTAATGCCTTTAACATTCTGAAACACCTTTCTGAAGACCTGGAAAACCCTGCTATTATACGTACAGCAGTATTAGCAATAATGTAATCTCAAAATTAATAACCTTAATACCAATAACTTTAATAATGTAATATTAAATATTTCTTTCTGATAGATCAGAATATGTATTATCTCAACTAGGTTGTGAAATACAGACTGGGATAGGGGTGTCAAACTCATGTCATCATGGCATCGTCACATGAAGCATAGGGACTTTTTTCCTCTTTACTAAACTGACATGGGCAGTTTGTGAATTTGAATTTGAATTTACTTTATTTGTATGCCACCCTTTTCCCTGAAAGGGACTCAGGGCGGCTCACAATTCAAAGGAGGGGAAAAACAAACAAAGTTACAAAATGTAAAGACCATACACAGTTAAAAACACAACAATCATACCATTCGAAGTGGGGCTGCAAGTCTTTAGCCCCAGGCCTGTCGGAACAGCCAGGTTTTAAGGGCTATGCAGAAGGCCTGGAGGGTGGTGAGGGTACGAATCTCCACGGGGAGTTTGTTCCATAGGGTCGGAGCAGCCACAGAGAAGGCCCTCCTCCGGATAGTCGCCAGTTGACACTGGGCGGCTGATGGAATTCGGAGGCCTAGTCTGTGACGCATCTGGCCCATGGGCCAGGAGTTTGATAGCCCTGCACTAGGAGGTAAGGGTGAAAGTTTTGGTCCAGTAGAATATTTATCATTGATTTAAGTCAAGGTGCTACCCAGAAAGCTACATCTCATTCTTGGGATATCTGGAAAACAGTTGTGAGAACAGAAGTGGTTTGTGTACTTCTCTAATAAATTAACCAGACCCTATTTACAATAGTCAGGTGATATGAAAAGTTGCTTAATTTGAATTAAGGGATTTGAATGAGCATCTGTTTATTCTTTAGCTGTATCCCCTCTCCTTAGCAAAACAATTTGTGAAGGGAAAAATTAAGTATATAGATTACTTAGTTCTTAAAACCAGAACTCTCATCATCATAGGGTAAGAATGACTGTATAATTCCCTGGAAATGAGGGACTATGGGTAGGCATCATCTATCTTAAAGCAATTACACACACACATACACCCCTTCTCCCTCTCCAACTGCAATTCTCTATCCTTTCAGTACTAAGAACTTCATTAAGATATGTCAGTAAAAGCCGGCTTGCTTTATTATGCATCTTTTTGGGGAACTGTGCAGTTATAAATTAAAACATTAAACTGTTTGGGTTGTACTGGTGGTCCCATGTTTGTTCCAAACAGCAAATAGCTGCTCAGAATTTCCCAGGAGAGTGTACAAAAGGCTATGTTTGGGTTCCAGGTATATGTTTGAAATATCGAGATGAAATGACTAAACTGTTCCAGAAGCAAATTGAATCAAGATAGGCTGAATCAAAATAGCTTAATCTTGATAGTTTGCACTGGAACTATAGAACCTGGTTTTCATTGGTTATACTGGTTTTAAATGCAGTTGGCCATCTCCTTAAGCAGGATAGTACTTTACGCTCATGGAGACAAGCATTTGACAGGGTAGAGATTTCATGGGCCACAAATCTTGTTTATAGGATAGCCCCCACTGCTTTTGTTACTCCCTTTCCGATATTTTAACCCTAATCTATATTAAAAAGAAAACCCCATTCCCAAGTAACTCCTTCTCTGTTTAATCTTTCCATCACAGCATAAACTGCAGCAGAGGGCTTAATTGGGTTCTTCCTCTGTGCTGCTCACTTCAGGTCTGAATGGTGCCAAGGGCAGAGACTACTGACTGAATTGCATTGTAAGATCAGTGGTGTGCCAAAGCCAGATCTTAAAATTTTCACTGAAGAGGGACAAGATGCAAAGTCTTTTGCCTCTGCTGGCTTTGGCAGTACCTAAGAGATCAAAGAAAGACCCACAAGTTACAGGCAAGTGAGATCCCTTATGATAGAATTAGTGAGGTACCTCTTGGAAGATAAAATTGTGGCAGCCAAAATCACTGAGCCACTATCCAAAGGCAGGAGAATGAATCAAAGACTCAGAGGATTTCTGGGAAAGGAAGTTTGGAAATTCTTGCTTCCCACCCTGTATAAAAACTATGCTTTTATACAGAGTTCCTATTTTTGATCTTTGCTGCTCTGCTTTTCTTCAATGAAATGTAGCATTTTTCCATGACATGTCTTTTGAGACTTTTTAAAGAAATAACAGAAAGTTGAAACCCTGAGAGGCAGTTCATAACTCTAGCCTTGCCACTGCTACCGTATTCAGTTGACTGAGGCCGCTGGTCTTCCAGCATGTAGCAATGGGATTTCTGAAAAGTGAAGCTGAAATTCCATCTCTCTCTTGCTTTTCTTGCATTGAGTATCTGAATTTTGGAATTCATTGGCATTTCAGTGGAAGTATCTTGGAGCTCACAAACAGAAATGCAGGTTTTCAGTTATTAGGCTTTTTCTGGCCTCGGCATAGGAACAATTATGAGCAAACCAAAACTGTAGTACTGCACATTATTGTGTAAGATGTTCAGGAAATGTTAGAGAGGCATGTGGCGTGGCTGCTTTGGTGTAGAGAATTCAGTCTCTAGGCTACATAGATGAAACACCAAATTCATAGAGTTTATGTGAATTATAGCCATCTTGAATGCTCGCCAGAGCATAAAGGTCAGGTTTTAAAATAAATAAATTTAATCCAACAAGGATTCTAAATTGAGTTCAGTCTTTCCTGTCTCCAATTCCAGCCTTTTGAGAATGATTCAGTCTATAGAAATGTGTTCAGCAGTGGGACTCAGAGAAGTTGGATTTTCTTCCAATTCCCGTTGTGGAGCATGAAATGTTTCTTTGCTTAGACAATGCTGCTCTTTGTTCTAGGTATCTAAACCATGTCCGAGCTGCTTCCCCACAGGATCTTGCTGGTGGCTACACTTCCTCTCTTGCCTGTCATCGAGCCCTTCAAGAAGCCTTCAGTGGGCTGTTTTGGCATCCTGGCTAACTGGGGGGTAACAGACACCAAAGCAGAGCAAGCAAAACTCAGGTGAAAATTGTTGCCGTCTGCACTATGGCTAAATTGCATTCATCTATCCTTTTTTAAAACAACAACAACAACAACAAAAGACATTGTGAAGCCAGCCATATATTTAAATATTAAAAATTCACTAAATAGAAACTTTATTTAGAAAAAGTGATGGCATGTATGTGTTTTTTCCTCCTTTTCTGTGGTTTGAGGATTGGAATGGGAGATGCTTTAAGTCACTCTCCTGGGATGTAAATGGAAGATGTGAGCAATCATTTCATGTATTTAAGGTTTCTGAAACAGACTAGTAAAATTTTTAAAAAATAAACCCCCATGTTCTTGTTGTTATTTTCTGTAGTTTCTGTCTTCTTTTCAGGTTTGTATTTGTAAAATCACCGAAATGCTGTTTTCATTAAAGCTGTATAGTGCAATTCTACTAAAAGCCAAAAGCCTTTTCTTCTCTTAAATCAGTGTCTAATGCATATGAATTATATATTTTTTCTCCCCTGAAGCATGATACAAGAATTGGAGATACATTTTCTTCCATAATACCTTGAGTTCTGAGCAATGAAATCAGAACCACATTGGAGATTGCAACAACTATCATTCTGTAAATACACAATTATGTATCTGGCTCTAAAAATACCAAAAACACACACAGAAGGAAGTCATAACTCTGAAACTTCGTGTACAGTTTTTTTTATAAGCTCCAACAGAATGGGCCTTTTAGAGTGACTACTGTATCCTACAGTAGTTATTTTATTGCAATAGCTGGATCAATGTTTTCTGGATAAGAAATAATTGCATTAGGACATCCCCCTTTCCTTTCAATGAAAAATCTTATGATATTGGAAGAATATCACAGGTGTTTCAGGAGCAGCTTTCTGGGCTAGTGTCTACTCCATATGATACATGAAATGCTGATTATCAAATGTTTTACCATTTTAAAGACTATGTATTTAATTTGGGAAAATATTTCATGTATTTGAAGTACACCAGCTTAAATGTGCAAATTGGAATTCAGTAATTATGTAGAATCAGGAACAGAAGTACATTTAGAATTCCACAAACCAAGAATAATAGTATATCATCAGCAGGCATTAAAACTCACGAATTTTATATTTTCTTACAAAATTAAATACACATCAGCTGTTCTTGAAAACAGCAGAGCAACTGCTTTATTAATTTAGGAAATGGTAGGTTGTATTTTAAACTGAAATATGCACTTGAGTATAATTAAGCAAAATGCAAGATGGCCTCTCTAAATGTAACATACACCTAGTTTACAAACTGCTATTTTTATTTCATATCCTGAATTCTCCCTTCCTTTGAAACAGGAGCATATAAATAATAGATGTGTGTGTATGAATACGGTTACTTTTATAAACAATGAAGTGAAAAACTCATGATTTAAAATGGTCCTTGTTTAATAACCATTCTTTCAGCAACTGTTCCAAGTTACAATGGCACTGAACAAGGAGTCTTACACAGTCCTCAAAGTTGCAGCCATTGTAGTGTCCCATGGTCATATGATTATGATTCACGTTTTTGGAAACTGGCTCATAATTATGACACTTGCAGCATCCTATTGTGATGAGACCGCCATTTGCAACCTTCATTATACTTCAAATACTTCATTGCTTTATATGTCATCTCCCTTGGTGCCTCAGGAGCTGTGGCTGGACAAAGTTCACAGGAGCAATGACATCAATGCCTTATGTATGTATGGGTACTTCAAGACTGCAGAGAAATACTTCATCTTGTTAATTTAAACTTTCTCATTGGTGGGTGAATAATGACACAAGCCTGAACACAAAATATTACAAATTATGGAAAAATAGAAAATTTAATGTTCTTTAGATAAGAGAATTGACCCATATCATATATAACACAACTGAAACATAATCAATGTACAATCAGCTCATGAGTGTGCAATTGCCAACTCTGAGAAAGATTAGATAACTGCTGTCACACAGATCAGATCCAATGTACTTTCCTCACCTTGAAAAATGGAATTAAAATTCTATTCAGTCATGATCCACATATCGCCTAGATGGTTTGATTATTTTCTTCAGTGTAATTTTCATTTGGGCATGGTCGTTTAGATGGAGGTTCTTCTGGATCATCTGCACAAACAAGTTTAAGATAATTATATCTGAATGGCAGATATATCCATCCATCCATCCCACATATACATCAATGGTGGTGGTGATCAAAGCAATCTGGTTTCATGCACATGAGAGGCAAATCAAATCTTTCTTATGGTCATAGATTAGCATAGGTGATGAGTGGCATAAAGCTAGAGGCAGATAGCAAAGAGTTGCCCAGAAATGGAACAGTATTAGGAGAAGTGGTTGGGAAAAAAAGTTATAAAAGAAAATCTGATGCCAAAATTGGCAATCATTAAAATCTTTCATTCAAACTCATAATGCATAAGAATTAGCAACATACAATAAACACCCCTTAAAGTATATATGGAAAAAAGAAAGGGAGTTTGAAAAAGAATGGATTATTTTGGTACCCACCTCCCAATGTATCTTTTGAAAAACCAATCCTGACATTCAAGAATCTTTTACAATGGCAGTAACTGCCCATTTCACTAAAACAGGATTTGGCCTGTCCCTTATCACTCAAATAAACCAAGTTAACAATTTATAAGTGATTGGTTTTCCAAATCACACAAAACCAAGCTGACTAACTAGATTATAAATTAGTGCAGTATATATGTCAGGTCAGTTTGAGACAAAAGATCCATAGTGCTCTTTAGATCTCAACCCATGAAATGTCCTCAATCAGAGTTAGGTAGCAAAATTTTACTAAGTCTTCACTCACCCACATAATATTTTCCACTACTGAATTTACCTGTCGGAGAAGACAGCGGCTTGTATAACACCTCAGCTGGAAGTTGAAAACTAATGCACATCATTTCTTTATTGGGTGCCACATTTCTCACCCATTTAACAGAACAAAGACCATGTAAGGAAGTTCCCAATAAAGCTTCAACTCTTTCTTGAGCGTCTTGCGTGGGGTTATCATGTTTGGAAAAACAGTGGCAGTGCACTGTAGGAAGTTCATCACAGACTGGTTCTCCTTTCAAGAGATGCCTGAAGACATCCAGGAACTCAATTGCCATGGCTGGCAAATTCATGATGATGTGTACAGAATTTTTCCATTCCTTCGAAGAGAGATGCTTGTCCAGTTCTTCTTTCACTGGCCCTTTCAAGAAATTCCTGCCATCCAGGTTAAAAACTTGGACTTTTTTGTCTACTTTATTTAATTTACAGTTGTGCTGGAGCCATTTGCATGATTCAGGGTTAAGGTCATTTGCAAACACTTTGCAGTTCTTCTTTGCTGCAGGGATTGCAAAAGGCCCCACCCCTGCAAAGACGTCAAAGATAAGGTCTCCTGGCTTTAAAAGGTTGACAATCCGCAAATGTTCAGTAGAGAGGCGAGGATTCCAATAGACTTTGGAAAAATCAAATTCATAGGAGATATAGTTTTCCTTAACCTAGAAGAATTCAAATGAATAGGCTGACTGTTAGATCAGGAAGAGTGAAATGCAGTGAAAGATTACATTTTTTACCAAAAATTAAAGTTCCCCTTTGCAAGTTATGGAAGAATTGAGAACCATGTCCTTGCAAAAGATCAGATTGGGAATAAAAGGTTCCCCTCGCACATGTATGCTAGTCGTTCCTGGCTCTAGGGGGCGGTACTCATCTGTTTCAAAGCTGAAGAGCCAGTGCTGTCTGAAGTTGTCTCCATGATCCTGTGGCCAGCATGACTAAAGGCCGAAGGTGCACGGAACACTGTTGCTTTCTCACCAAAGTGGTCCCTATTTTTCTACTTACATTTTTATATGCTTTCGAACTGCTAGGTTGGCAGAAGCTGGGACAAGTAACGGGAGCTCACTCTGTTACATGGCACTAGGGATTTGAACCGCCGAACTGCTAACCTTTCTGATCGACAAGCTCAGCATCTTAGCCATTGAGTCACCATGTCCCTTAGATTGGAAATAAGGAGACCCAAATTAAGATTCATCCTCGACTATGGAGTTCACTGGATGACTTTGGCCCAAACCTGTTTCAGCCATCCAAACTTAGGTGTTATGTAACTACTGTACATTCTAGAGGAATAATCATGTCTATATTGAATGAATAATAATGTTGTCATGTCTATAAAAGTCATCTCCATTAAAGGACACAAAACACACAACTGCATAGCTCTATATCACCCTTAAGTATTTATGGTGTAAGAAGGGACAGATCCCTAGAATTACATAGCTACAATTAAGGTTTATATCACTGGTATTTTATGTCAATGTGAGATCTAGTTCTCATCAGTGTAAAAAAAAAAACAATTTAAAACTCTAAAAGCACCAATGATTTTCCCATTCAGTTTCAAGAGGGCTTTTTAAAATGTTGCCTTACTTACTTAAAAGTAAAAATACAAATCAAATAAATCTGTCACTATCTGAAGTCATGCTTCTGAAAATTAAGAATTACAGTTTGGTTTACAGCTTCTTCTGTAATATATATTTTAAATTCTTATTTTTAACAATAAGATAAGGTAAAGATAACATACATTTATGTATGCTATCCTGCATGAGCAGTAACAATATATACTTATCATACTAATTTTGTATCAGGGAGTTGGAAATATCAATAGTATATCCTGAAGGCAAAAGCTGAGATAAATGAGAGTAATATACTAAAACAGTACAGTACAGACACCTTTTCAGAAATCTTAAATAAAAAGATCAGCCTTATATACACAAGTCCTAAATCTTATTGAAGCAATCCCCTTTGCTCATTTGCTTTACAGGTAGTTCTTGGGTTACAATGGCGGTTCCACCACAAAACCGCGGTAGACTAAAGCACGCTCGACGAAAGCGCGTACGTGACGTCATCACAGCGCGACGAAAAAAATTAAAAATAAAATAAATAAAAATTAAATTAAAGCAAGCCGATTCACATAAAGATAAGGGTTAGGGTTAGGTTAAGGGTTAGGGTTAGGGTTAGGTTTAGGGTTACGTTAAGCGTTAGGGTTAGGGTTAGGTTAAGGGTTAGGGTTAGGGTTAGGTTTAGGGTTACGTTAAGCGTTAGGGTTAGGGTTAGGTTAAGGGTTAGGGTTAGGGTTAGGTTTAGGGT